GCCAAGGGGCACTCCCAAAAGGGTCTAGGGAGGGATACAGATATTTAGCTCGATCCAGAGGATCTGTGTGACCCGAGGGCCCGGGATCCGACTTGGAGTCTGACTGCGCCTCAGGGACTGAGTCAGCGGCCTTGGCTGGGGTTGGAGTCTGGGCCTCCACCACCTTTGTCCTTGGTGGGCATGGGGGAAAGCAGCCCTTTAAGGCAGATACTGTGGGGAGCGCTCCCAGAGGGGGCATCTCTCCCTTTTCTATCTGGGCCCGTCTGATTAACTTTTCAACTCTATCCCAAGTATCCCAATCAAAGAGATTGCTCTCCGGAAGCCAGGGTGCGATCTTTAGCAAGCATCCCCATGCCTGGAGAGCTTGGCTATCTGAGAGATCAAGGCCCCTGCTTTTGAGCAAGACCCTGAGGGAATCTAAAGAGGGGTCAGGCTTGGAATTGGACTTTCCCATAATTTATGGGAGTATACTCACCTGCAGACCGATTGGCCTGGTAGCAAACTTCGTGATAGGCAGCGCCTCACATGGGGCACCAATCTGTTGGATCACTCTCTGACAGGTACTGCACAGGGAGAGAGGCCAGGACCGGCCTGTGTTCCTATCTTAGGGGCTGAGCGGGATGGTGAGTGTCGGCGACTCAAAAACCACACTGAGTTGGGAGTCTTGTCAAGGCAGGAACTCACTTTATTGCGTCTGGCATTACCTTATATAGTTTAAACAAAAAGGAATGTGGAAAAGGGAAGGGCAAAAGTGTATGTCATCTGGGGCAATGGCTGTGAGCCACTGGGAATTGGTCATGCCAGCTGTGATTGGGGAGAGGCAGTCCGAGGTTGGGCCCTGCTGAGTCACCTCCGCGAGGAAGTGACCAGCCAGAGACAGGTCGCCAAACTTTAGTCAGGCTTAGGAAGTTACAATAGGCCTCGTCATAAGTTATGCCACAATTATGAGGGTCCCAGAGACCCAACAAAGCCAGACATGGTCGAGCAGGACATTTGACTTATCTTCACATAGATGGAACTGGTAAAAGAAAGGAGCCAGAAGCTCCTTCCAAGCCCATGTAATCCCCTTAGGAACAGACCCTCAAATGACCTTAAGTGTAAAAATAAATTGAATTATTTGGGCCAACTGTATGGTCTTAGGAAAGTATAACCAAACAGTAAACTCCTCAAATGACCTTAAGTGTAAAAATAAATTGATTTATTTGGGACAACTGTATGGTCTTAAACACCCAAAAGGAAAATATAACCAAAGAGTAAAGTCATCAGTATGTTTAAGAGTTCAAGGGATTACACTTCCCAGACATTAGGCTTAAGTCTATATAAAAAGTTATTTACACAATTATTTCTCATTGATGATTTTGTTCCTAACCAGAAAGTGCTGCTCAGATGTAAGACTTCAAATCTTGGTCTCCAATACTGTAGTGCCCACCTGTAGCTAAGGGAGACACCAGCTATTCTAAAATGATGGATAAATTCTTGTTTCCTCCCCTTATCTGGAAGACTTTGAGAGGGAACTGACACTGATTCTAACCACTCCAACAGCTATTAAAATGCCTGAAAGCAAATCCTGAATCCATCACTCTAGAGTCCAGCCTTGG